CGGGCCTTGGCTGCGGAGGTCTGGCGGTGTAATGAGGTGGCATGGCATAGGAAGCGGGTAATGGGAGCTGGCACCCCTTGGGGAATGAGCTCTGGGGGTGTGGGGTGGCTCTGAGGTGGGACAGCGCTGGGGCTGGCAGTGGGCGTGGATGTGTGCGGCCGGGCAGTGATAGGGGAAGCTAAGAATGGAGGGCGAGGAGGTCTAGCATTGACGGTGGGGGAACAGGAGCTGCTCCAGCAGGAGAAGAGGAGGATGAAAGCTGTGGAGAAAACAGGGTGGCTGGGGAAGGACCAGACCCTGAGTGAGGGGATAGAGGGTCAGAGAGGGCTGCTCCAAGGGAAAAGTTCCACACTGTTGGAGGTAGACATCTCAAATCTTGGTGGTAGATAAATGAGCAGATATTGAGTAAGGTGCCTGGCATTAGGCCAGGTAGCAGCTAAGTCTGCCAGACTTTAAGGCAGAGTTGTTACTGAGGTGTGAGACTACTCAGGACTGCTGATGGGGCACCAGTCTGTTCCACTGCTGAAGCTCAGAGGAGAAGGGGGTGTTTCAGGTGAGCCAAACAGAGTGCTGGGACTGGGGTGGGGAGAAGCCTTAAACAGCTGCCCTGCTAAAGTGTCTAGAAGGGTGATGAGTGGAAGACCCTCTTCTACTTGTGTTTGAGAGAGTTTAGCAAAGACGTCAGTGTCGCCTTTTCCGGAAGCAGGTCCCTGAATGTCTGTCCGTAGCACTGTTCTGATTGTTTTCCTGCCAACTCAGGAGTGTCCATAAATGTAAATACTGATACTTGCCAAGTGGAGAGCATTGATTAACAATCAAAATATTTTATGTAGGCGTTGTGGATACACCACACATATGGACAGAATAAAATAAGAGTTATTTCATTTCCTCTCAATGGCTTAACATTAATATCTGTAGTGCTCCACTTCAGTGTTTTCATTCCTTTGTCTCTCTCTGAATTACAGATGTTTTAGCTGTAACTGTTTGTTCTCTTGGCAGCTTATAAATACTCTGCCTGACTTTTCCTTTAGTGCAAAGTCTTTCCCTTGTTTACATCATATTGTTAGCTGCTATTGGCTCAAACATATGCCATCCATTGCTTTTGATGTGAATGAAGTTACCTTTTGGTCTTTCAGCTATGCTTTGTAGAAAGTGTTCGTTCTTGTTTTGCATTGCCTCCCCTAGTGCTGGGTAGGTGGTACTGAAGGCAAGACTGGTCTTTGGTTATCTTTCTGCTGGATGAAGCTCCACCTTATTATTGGAGAGACAGGTGGTAGAAATCCTTTTCATAATGCTCTCTGTCCCACCGCACACTGACGGTATTATATTGCCATCCACTTCTCTCCACTTCCTTTTTTGCTTCATCAGTTCTTTAAAGGTATTATCTTTACCAAAAATTATACTCAATCATGATTCAAATAAATCTCCTGTATGTATATCCCAAACCAGTGATCCTTTATCTATTTAATCATTATTTATCTGCTTATAATAAATGCTTTGCATTCCTCTGCCTTAAAATGAAATAGGTGTGCCAGAAATTCCTTACATCTGCACATGTGTCTGGTGATGCATTTGGAGCTACAGGGTGTGCAGAGAACTGCCCAGATGCGTTTTTATTTCGGGATCAGAGATTCTAGGTGCATCTGCACTAGATATTATTGCACTTTATGTAAATATAGACAAACTGTCTTCAAACTAGTTTGTTAAGGAACTGTTAGTCTAGTAGAAGCATTAGCCAGGAGCTGTGCAGATGTAAGCATGTGAGTATATGGCCAGCTGCTCAGAGATATTTGGTGCTACCTTTGAACTCTGCTGTACTGTGGCTGTATGACCAAGAGCCTCTAAGCAACTTCAGTGTGTCTGTAGCTGCAGGTACAGTTTAAACGCTCTTGAACCTACTCATGAAGACAACTTGATCCTTTATTTGCTACACAGAGTGCTATAAATGCATATGGTGTCATGTGAGTACATAATACTTTATATATTGCTGCAATGACATTTTGTTTCCCCCATCATTTTCGGCATCAATTGTCAGCTTGTTTTATGAACGTGTTCGTGATGGTGTCAGTCAGCCTGAAAAACACCAACTGCTTAGGAATGTTAATGTTTTCATTTGCAAAATCATGCACTGATTTGATGAGCGTCTGCTTTTACGGCCAGCCCTGGATACCTGTGGCTCTGCTCAGAGAGTCTGAGTAGGTTACTGCACAGGTAGCTTTCAAGAGCCAGCCCATTAGATGCTCTGGACCTAGGAGTGAAGTGGAATTTAGATTAGCTGAATACAGTCCTGTGCGCTGTCTGTTTAGCTGGAGATGAATGCTTATATTAGGAGGAGCTGTAGGCTCAGCACCTGTTTGAAGTCCGGACTGCTCTTTGGAGAATCTAACTCCTGACAAAACAGTTGGAAACTCCTGCCTGTTCTGAACTAGCACTGTTCTGAAGAAATTAATTTTCCCCTCTACCAGTTAACAATCTAGGCTGATAGAATGTTAGATCCTAAAATAAAAACTATATCTTTATTCATCCTTCGTACACTGAATATTACCTTAAAGTATATGGAAGCACTTATTATGGAACCTTATTGTTGAACAGAAAGGCCTTTCTGCCTTCAGCTGCTGCTAAAACTGTGCTAGAAGCTTTTTTCTATGGCTGCTTTTCACGGTGATTCTCCTGTTGCTTTTGACCAGTGAAGAAAGTTTCCAAAGAACAGGGTTTTTACTTCAGAATCAGCCAGATGGTATAAAACAGGGGGCATCTTTATGTGTGCCTGGAGAGATTAGCTCCATTGAGTTTTGAATATTGAATAAGTGAAACAGCTGCTGCACCTGGTTTCTTTGTGAGTTAGATGTTTGTGTACTTCATTACAGCCCCGGTGATGTCAGTGTGGCTGTTTTTACTTGCATCGGAGAGAGATTTGACCCTCCATGTGCACAAACGAAGTATGGCTGCGTGCCCTACATTATACGATCAAAGAAATGCAAATGTTTCCATCAAAGTCTAGCAAACCAAAGGAGTACAGAGTATTTTCCGCCAGCTCAATCTCTTTCCTCTTTGGTGTATCTGTGACACTCGGGTGCACAAGACGTTAAATGGTAAAGGCAAATATTTGTTAGACTGCCAGGAACAGGTTCTTGCTGTTGAGAATGGCTTTGATATATTTTTTTTTCCTGAAGCAGTTTCCTCAACTTGAAAATCACTTTTGACTGATGTTTTCCCCTGTTAGTCTTACAAAGGACACCTCTCCAATACGAATCAATAGAATGGAGCCCGACATCAGTAAAAACTCTGCTTTTCTTCTTTGTTTCACACACAGGTGTTGGAAAATATTTAAACCTAGGAAAAAGGTTTGTTAAGCCACAAAATTGTGTTTGCCTCAGAGCTGTGTTGTACATGAAATTACTTTAGCAATTTTCAAACTGATTACATTGAAGTTGGTAGTGCCCTTTTCAGCTTCAGTTACTGATATGAGACCCATCTTACTGTAACAGCTGCTATTTCAGTATACTAAATGGAAACAATTGATGCAGGGAAGAGCCGATGCTTCATGCCAGTCGGAGTTTTCCAGCACCCGATATGCTGATGACTGCATAAACCAAAATTCAAAGCCATTAAACAGGCCATCACATCAACAGTACAGGTGGCAGCGACCAAAGCACAAATTCATGAAAGTACAGCCTGAACTAATTAATAATTGTTTTCTAAAATGCATTAACAAGAGACACCCACAGGCTCTCCCTGTTGCCGTACTAATGAGACAGGACTGGATTCATGCAGTTAAGAAAAGCTCTTCAGTCTCTGAAGTAGTCTTCTGATTGCGTATCTGGGACAGTTTCTCTAATCATCAGCTTTTGGTTATTGAAAATTATAGCTATCACCTTAAAAAGTAATTTATTTTTAGCCAAGTGTTAAAGGAAGTCTGTTACGGACCTTGTTTGGTAGATCTTGATCTTCTGTAATGGCTCTTTTAAAAGCCCCAGGCAATGTGAAAATCTTGGGGGTTTTAATTGATGTTGGAAATCATCCCAAAATATTCTTCCTCACTATCTTTGATTTTTATTTTATTCATAGAGAGTTTAAACTTTTAAACCTTTGCTTCGTTACCCTACTAGGGTCAGAATGTCACTTGGTCTAGCATGCTAGTTTTGGCTTTGAAGAAGTCTTAGAGTCTCAGCTTTGATTCAGTCTTGTCTGTTTTGTGCTTGGTTTCTGGCTCAAAGCAGAGGCTGTAAAATAGATCTCAATTACAATAATATATTGTAATTTACGTGGGAAATCAGGATCTTAGTCTCCCATAAAAACATCTTGCTGGCTGTAGTTACAGCTAGAAATACCTTAGGGCTGAATGATTTACTCTAAGGTCTTCCTTTTGAGCACCCAGCCGTTAAGGCTGTTCATCTCTGCAAGCGGCGATTGTTCTTGGTCCTGTGATGGGATGTGCAGAATGTCAATTGGGAGAAAGTTCTGGCTAAGCATTTACCACTAGAGGGCATTGACCGTTCTCATTAATTTTATTCTCTTTCTGGAAACGTTGCAGGAGTAAAATATTCCCCCTTTATAGATTTTCTGTATCGCTGTGAAGACTCCTACCTTCTGCCACAAAAAGCTGGAATCAGATTGGCAGGCTATATTACGGATGCATCCTAGCAGATATTCTCCAAACCCAAGCTAGCTCTATTTGTTGTGCTGCTTGCTATTTAGAGCTGAAGAAAAATTCAAATGTGTCAACACTAACATTTAACTCACTTGTTCTTCTTGTTTCATGTCTCATAGGTTTGGGTTGGGTGTTCCTGTTATTCTGAGAAACTCAGAAGAAACAGAATCCAGCACAAAAGTTTTGAAAAAGCGGATGAGACAAGTGAAGAATCCTTTTGGGTTAGAAATCCCTCATCCTGCTACAGCTTCAGTAACAAGTCAGTGGATTTCTGATGTGCTTGATTTTTGTCAGTTTGGGTTCCTGAACATAGTAGTATCTTTTCTTGCTCTCACCCTTTTCCTTTTATCCAAATTCCTCAGAAACACACCCCTCATCATTACAACAGAAATAATTTTTACACAGCTTATAAATATGGTACTTTTAAAAGTGAAATGTTTGGATATTTAAGTACAGTTCAATTCTTATTAATGAAACACTTCCTGCTATAACAGACAGTTATTAATAGTAAAAAAAAACATATGCAGATTACCAGCTACTGTGGACATTTTTGTAAACTTTACAGAATTGTAGAATTCTATAGAACTCATTGTCGAATATATGCTGCCCACTTAAATCTAAGTCCAGATCTCCAGCAGTGTTTGGAAGTGCACTACTTTAAAAAATAAAAATAAAAAATCTTCCTCTCTTTCTATCTGTGCTGCAGTGGAAACTGAATTTAAATATTTATTTGGATCAGAGTTCAAGTAGTTCCTAACGTCCTTGAAATCACCGACATAGGAAGTGAAAGTCATGCCCTTCTGCATCATTGGGGAGCAGTGAGTAAGGCTGAGTGTCTTCTGCCAACACAGAGGAGCCTTCCCATGAATAAGAAAAGGGCTGTAGCGGTTTTACACCTCCCTTAGCATTAAGAAAAAAACCCAAAAAAACAATAACTTAATCTTTAGGTAACTCGGATTTTTGAGCACTTGAATTTGGTGGGACTGTTGAAGAGTTCTGCTCCTGTTTGTGCAGTAAGTGTTCATAAGTTAACGGGTTGGGTACTTGATTTTTATAAAAGAAATGGAGCGCATAGCTCCTCTTTTTATCCTCCCTCTGCATGGTCAAGAGGGCCTTATTCTTTGAGACCATAGAGAGTGTTATAGGCTAGTGATCCACGTAATACCATTATCTAAGGAGGGAATGGATGCTGATTTAGGGGTTGTGCTCTTGGGTCTACCTGTAAGTGTGTAAAAGGTTACCAGAGGTTAAAATTTACCCTTCATAAAATGCACATGCTACTTCTGTTAGCTTAATCAGCCATTTTATCTCCTCGCACCTACTTCCTCATCTCCATTGACTTTCATAAGCACTAATCATAGCCTAAATTCTTGGAAGATTAGATTATAATGATATAAATCTGGGACACTGAAGTTGTTTTCTGCTTGTTGCCCTTTAAGAACCTACACTTAGCAATTCCAGAACTCCTGCACATTGGTGGGTTAATGAAATCCTTATATTCTTTCTACAAGAGGGTATAACACTGACACCTGATTGTCTGGAAGACTGTATTCTTACGTGCTACTGGGGCTGCAGTGTTCAAAAACTCCATGAAGCGTTGCAGAAACATGTCTACTGCTTCAGAATAAAGACTCCTCAGGCGTTAGAGGATGCTCTGTATAGCGAATACCTCTATCAACAACAGTATTTGTATCCTTTTTAAAATTGTTTTGACAAAATATGTTAATTTGTTGGCACAGGGAGTGTTGAGACTTGTGAACATTCGACAGTTCTTGGCACAATATATTTATGAACAAATATGATGAAAAATATTCTTTATGCACACGTCACATTTGTCTACATTTGCAGCGACACTGATTGTTTTCCTTGACACATAGAAAGCATTAAAAAAAATGACAAGGAAGAAAAATATTGTCAGTTACCAGAAGATGCTCAAGTTGTTGATTTTGGCCCAGTGCCTAGATCTCGCTATCCCTTGATAGCATTGTTGACGTTAGCTGATGAAGAAGACAGAGAAATATATGATATTGTAAGTAATATAAGAATATCTTTTAGGGTCACTGTATTCAAGGCCTGAATGTTTCAGGAGACAGGCTTGAATAAAACAGCTTCCTTTCTCTGCCCCCTAGAATTTGGTCCCTAACTTTGTCACTGATGACTCCAGGGGAACATGGCAGAAGAGCAAGGATGATTATTGTGTAAAAATTATGTATGCCATCCAAAAGATGCTTATGATTTTCACAAAGCTTGTATCTGCAAAGGTCTCTGTTGTAAGCGCTGTGGTCAGATGAACTATGCTTAGTAAACTATTACTCTGATTTTTCTGATCACATAAGCCTGTGGTGGAGCTCTTGTGCTGATACAGTCTTTTGGATTGCTGTTGGCAAGGTAGGAGGATTTTTTTATTTTTTTAGTGTCTGGCACAGATACTGGAGCTGATTGCTGACTTGACTGTTAGGAACATAGAAATTACGTTTCTGCAACAGACCTGAGTGTATGTAATGCAGTACATGTCTCTCAGTCACCAGGTCATTTACAGGAAGGTGTGAAGGTCTTGCAGTAGACTGATATGAGATATTAAGCTCCCCAAAAAGGTTTCCTCCTAATCTCTTACAGTTAAAGCAGCTTCAGCCTTGTCACATGCAGTTCAATATCCCTTCTAAACTCTAAATTGACTGATTCTTTTTGGAACGACTTGGGACATGCTTTTATCTCCCATTGTTTTCATTTGGTTGATAATCTGATAGCACTGACTGCTTGAACAATAATACAGATTAACTTGGAAGCAAATTGCCTAAATCCACTGAACACTTTTCCATACATTCATTTGGAAATGATGTGATCACCCCAGTGCCTAAGAAATCTGTTCCCTTTCCAAGCGATGCCTGTCCTTGGCTTCTTTGTCACTTGAGCTTAGGACTGCCTTCCTCCCTCCTGTCCCTGCTTCCTCCCACCCTCACCCCCCAGATATTTCCCAGATTAGTGTATCTACGTATGTTTAGGTCTCAGATTAGTTTAATATAAAGAGACTAATTTCATATTTGTTTGTGTTGTTTAAGCATGTTTGACACTAGCATGGAGATGAATTTGTAACACCTCTTTTGTTCCTTAACATAGAAGAAAGGGATGGAAGGAGAGTGGGGGAAGTATTTTTCCTCTGATTTTGGATAAAAGGAACACAAATAGGATCTGTTAATATGGTCAAAGGAGTAACTCCACCTGAACTCCTTGCCAGACAAATGTCAGAATTGCATCTGTTGTTGTTGAAACAAACTTGTAAAATATAAATATATGTGTAAAGGGATCTTTGCCACTGTGGCCAGTGTGGTATTACTGTGTTATTCTCACATCAGTGCATCAAGCACCATCTTGAATTATTTTTTGTGTGTGTGCATCCATCACTACAGATGATGTTCCAGTATCTCTTTTCTGGGAGGGTCAAATTTTCATCCTAACTGTATTTGTCACCAGGTCATACCTATTTGGTTTTGTGCTGTAATTTTCCTCTAGCTTGAGAAAATCGGCTGTATGCAAGAGTTACAGAAATTATTTGAAGATTGGCAGGGCTATGGTGGAAGAAGACTTAGATCTCAGGCCTGTGTATAAAAACAGAAGATTGAGAGTAACTTGATTATGGTGTACAAGTATTTACAAAGAGAGAAAATACCTGGTGCTCAAGGAGAAGGGATTCTATACTCAAACAGCATAGCGTTTCTGTATATTTTTCGATACTACAGGACAGCGTAACAGAGGAGACAGTAGCTTAAAGATCGAGATGCTTGCATTAGGGACTGGTCCCACTCACAGTTAGAAAATTGCCTAGGTGTCTGAACAAACTGTGAATTGAGGACATGTGTCGTCATTGAGAAAGCACTTTCGTTATGGTGGAATGACATAATACAAATACAGTGAGAACCGTTAACTTTTAAACTCTTATTATCAAAACACAAAATCTGTCATTTTAATGGAGAATTAATGGCTTTCAGGTTCCAAAACAAAGATAATAGTGGTGTGGGGTTTTTTGTTCGTTTGTTTTGAGGCATTGTGTTTTAGAAAAAAAGACCACCTTGCCAAAGAATAGTAAATTCAATTAGTATAAATACATATGTATAGGTACAGATATATTTGAACTCTACATGTAATTAGCCATGTAGTGGATTTTGAAGTGCAAGTCTGACTTGCCTAATAACAATTTTTATTAAACAGAACAGCTTTCTTCTATATTTAATTTCTCTTTTGACAGCTTCTGGGAACTACAATAATATTGAATTTCACTTTCTTTTTTTATGCTTTTTAGAGGCTATTACGTAATTTGGGCAGGTTGAGGGGTACTGGGCACAGCATGCAAGTTTGGAGTGCTTTTATTTTCAGAAAAATTACTCTAAAGTCAGCCGATGGGGTCCTTTCCTAATCCTTCCTGGTGAAATTTGTCTTTTGCCTACTTGATTTACAAGCCAATCAGTGACACTTCTAAATTCTTTTCGGAGTCTAAAAACTGCAGCCCGTGTGTTTGTGAAGGAAGTGGGAGACAGTAGAGAAGACTTTGCCTTTTACATGTTCCCCTGTAATTCTGCACCCAGACTTCAGCTGACAGGGTCATTTCTTGTGTTGAAGACAGCCTGGGATGCAGCTGCGGAAGTTGTACGGAATTTAAGTGCATGCGCTCGCTTGGGGTTCGGTTGCTGTGGGAAACTCCTTGCAGTTTGTCAACTTCCCTCCCACCTAGGAGGAGCTCCTCACAAGCTAGCAGAGTGGACAGAGGAGTGTAGGAGCTGCTACTTCTGGTTGAAGTCATGATGCGGGTAGCCTCTCTGAGGCGCACCTGTGGCTGTGTAAGCAAGCCCCACCTTAGCTGCATAAGCACTCACTTTCAGGGGGACTGCATGTTCTTCGGTGCCTTTTTGGTTTGGGGCCTAATTCCATTAGGTGAGAGCAGTCAGAGCAGGTCTCTGCTGTAAACTGGACATAGAAGGGCTCCATGGAGAGCCAGGGCAGAAAGCTGAAGTGCCCTGAAGTGCTGTCTTGTACTGCATCCTGTTTTCACCTTGTCCAGCATAGTATCTGTGCTTGAAGTCAACATTGTTGAAGTCCTGATTATCTAAAGAAATAAGCAGGTCGGAGGTTGTAACAAAATACGCAATCTTTCAAGCAGACTCTTCTGTATAAATCATGTAACAAGAAGGAGAGTTATTAAACGTAGTTTTGGGTTTTCTTCTTTAGATTTCAATGGTGGCTGTAATTCACGTTCCTGATGAGAGCTACAGACTGTCCTGCAGAATATTATATCAGTATCTACTTCTAGCTCAAGGCCAATACCATGATCTGAAGGTAAGCCACATACTGAATCTTGTTTCATTTGGGCGACAGTGTTAAGCTTAGTTTGTGTAGGCTTTCAGGAGCCTTAATTAATAGACGGCTTTTATTGCCATGCAAATAACTGGATCATAGTTAAAATTATTTTATCAGTTAAGTAGTTCCAGCCAAAGTTACTATACAGAAAGATTTTAAATTAAAATATTCAAGATTTCCTGGAGAAATTACTTGATTCTAGTCTAGAGGCCTTATGTCCATTTATTAAAGCAATAGTAAGACATTACGTAGCTGTCAAATACTTCGTCTCTGCAGAACATTTGTTGCCTCCTTGCTAGTCTCTCAAACCAGGACTTTCTCCTGTACTGCCCTTCAACTGGGAAAGCCTCAGAAGAAACTTTTTTTTAAATTTCTTTTTACTGCAATACATGCACAAAGGTTAGGAATCTGTCTAGCACATACCATTAGTGGAACCAATGTTCTCATTATTCCATTCCAGTTTCCTTTACCTATGCATGTTGTGGGACCGTGTGTCTGTCAGGCAGTTGATGATGCGACTCTGTGCAATTCACTTTTCTTTTACTGTGATAATAAAAATAATGTATGGTATTGATAAGGTAGAAATTGGGCCAAATTAATTCAATTGACTCAGCATTAATTCAGAAATAGGTTTGCCCAAAGAAATGTTTGTCCTGGCCATTTTTTGCTGACATAGCTGATCCAGGTAAACTTCCCTGGTGATCCCCTTAAGCTTTCTTTTCATGTATGGTTGCCATTGTAAAAGCACTGCTTCGACTGAACAGAAATAACTGTGCAGCTGCATTTTTTGTAGTTGTATAGTGTGTTCTCTGTGGGCAATCTTTGGCTGCATGGTAGTTTACTGGCTTTATTAAGAGGTCATGCCCAGAAGAATTTGTGCTTCACATCAAATAAGATGAAAAGTAATAGGGGATTGGACTATGAGTAAGAGCTGGATGGGTTGAATGACGTAGATTTGACAGCTTGGTGGATATATTTTTGGTAGGAATGGATAGAAGCATCCCTCTAGGCATAGAGAATGGTGTACCAGAAAACAGAAACCCAAGCTGCTCAAAACTGGGCAGTTCTATTAAAGTTCATGCATGTACATTGATTTGATTCAGCTAAGATTTTATGACTTATCTTTAATAATTTCCCAGTGTTTTATGTAATTTTATCCTTTGAAAATACTTTTAACTGAAGGCCAGGCAACTGTCAGGACTCATGCAAAGAGTGAGTCTGGCACTGTTGGACCCCATGGAAACCGGTGAATCTGACCCAGTGGAACTTGTGTCACGTGTGTGCGTTCGGGTATCAGGGGAGAGTTGTTTGACTTCTAAATGTTTGTGTATATGTGTATTCTAGCAACTCTTCATGTCTGCAAATAGTACTGCACTTCCAAGCGATACGGCCCCTGGTGAGAGAAGCACTGACAGAAGCTTGCTAGAAAAGGCTGGACTGGCTGAAGATGAATCAGAATTGCATGAAGAAAACAGTAAAGACTGTGTTGTTTGCCAGAATGGCACAGTGAACTGGGTACTCCTGCCCTGCAGGCATGCGTGCTTGTGTGATGGCTGCATTAAGTATTTTCAGCAGTGTCCAATGTGTAGGCAGTTTGTTCAAGAATCTTTTCCACTTTGCAGTAAAAAGGAGCAAGATGAAGATGAATCAACCCATATCTTGCAAGATGTTCTTCCTGGAAGAGTTTTTTAATGGGGGAAAAAATAGAAGAACTGGGTCGTATGCACCAAGATTAAACGTAGAAAACAGACTGTTTATGGGAGGATATGTAGCATTAGCTTGTATGGCTTTGCTTTTTATTGTTAGGTAATTTTCAGCTTCTTTATTTTTCTTTGCTCCATATGCTCGCAGGAACACCACACTTATCCATGCAACGTGGACAGAAAAATTGGGTAGGGTATCTTTGAAGGATGTGATTTTTATTTATAAACTTCTTACTAGTTTTTTATGGAGTACTGCTGGAGGCTATTTTGATTACTAAATTCAGTATATCTACTAAAAAAAGAGTAAAACTTGCAAGTGAAGTTGCACACAGCTCATTCTATATTTATTGTATTTAAAATACTAGAGCAATATATCATTTTAACTCAGTATAATTTAGAAATACAGCACTTTACAGAATGTCTCAAATGAAGGAAAGTAAATATTCTTCATTGTTAAACCCGTCTATATTTATTTTGTAGGTGAAGGCTGAACTGTGGCAGGAGCTGTGAGCTGAAGGCGTGATTCGGGACACTGTTTCTGGCTGTTTTGAAAGATTTCTGTGTGTGCATGCATGCGTGTGTGTGTAAGGGACCTTAGCCAAAGCCCACTGGAATGAGTGGAAAGATTTTTGTTGATTATTGTTGGCTTGCACTAAACGTTGCTGACACTTTCAAGCCTGAGCCTCAGCTATGTCATCTTGAGACACAGACTTTCGATCTTGTTAGCAAAGTCTGTAAGAAGTTGTTCTCTGTGCAAATGTTAATTACTTCATAGAGTGGTTACTCGGCTAGTTTTGTGGTGCTATTCTTATACAAGTAGTCTGCTTTGGGGAATTTCCAACTCTTTTTACTTGCATTGTCAGCTTGGATGCAGAGTTAACCGATTACCTTTTTATCCGTATTTCCAGGGAATTTACTTAAAGAAGCTAAAGAATAGCAGAAAATTATTTCTTTTCCCCTCCAATGGTGTATTGTCAAAAGCAATAAAAATGGCTGTTGAGAAGAGAAATTGTTGGTTTGTTTCTTGAGAGACAGCTGAAGTCGAAGGCCCCTAAAGACAGACAGGCTGGGTTTCACATCTGCTCATATAAAGACAAAAATACAAATGCTCGTTAGAACCTGTAGAAAATGGAGAGTAGCTGCTGCCTGTCCTCCCTCTTGTTCCATTGCAGCTTTGCCTCACAGCCAATTCCAGGACAGCTTCTCAGTCTCAGGGAGAGAAAGCCCTGCTCCGGGCTATTCAGCTGCACTCTCCTGCAGCTCCTTTAACAGTGCTGCTGCTACAGGAGACGCGCAAGGTGCTGCACACCTCCAAGCTACGGAAGGAAGCTTCCTCTAGTCAAAGGTATTCCAACCTCATCTCTCCATCATTCTTTGTTGTTGTTGTTGTTGTTTTGCCATGACCCTGCTGCCAAACTCTTGACAATTGCCTCTGAGGAAAAGATTTAGGTGGTGGTGGTGGAAGGAGTAATGCTTAATTGTAAAGACAGATAGAGGTTGGGAATTTCAGATTTCCAGCCAGTGATCAGTAGGCTTTTTGTAAGACAATTTATCTAGTCTATGTGAAGTGACCTTCCTTGCCAGGGATAACTCGGGAATGAGCTGCTGCCCAAATCAGCCTTTTGTTTGCACTGCATATCAAACAGGAATTAAATATCTAGGTGTCAGGGGACTGATCAGTGCTTGCAGAGAACTTTGGAAGACGGATGGTTCTGGGTGGAACTCATCACGGTGAAGAACAGTGTTTATGCTGCAGTTTGGGAGGCTGAGGACAGCAAGAGGAGAGCAGAGAAAAATATAACAGCAGAAGGAATGAGTGGTGGTGGCAGCAAGGCCATACCTCAGATAAGAACACGATGCAGATGTGGAGCAACAATGTGATGCACCTCAGGCAGACCCAGAGCTGCCTGTATTCAGAGAGTGTATAAAGACTGTAAATACCATACAGCGTCTTCACCACGCGGGATGAATCATGGAGGCATGATGCGGACTTGTCTTCTGTGCCACTATAGGCAGTCCTCACCAGCCCACTTCTACATGTGTCTTGGTGCTAGTGAGAATATGAACATGCCAGAATGAGTGTGAAAGAATGAGTGGGTGAAATCAGTCTTAAAAATAAAAATCACCTTCCCTTTCTGTGTGGTCTCGTGTTGAGTTTTGCTAGCTTGGTTGCAGCGTACCTCATGGAGGTAGTTGCGGAGTTTAGCCTCCCTGTGTCACTAGCCTTGTTCTGCCGTTACAGCAGAACAGCTATCGTGATGATGGTGGAAATAGAATCACAGAATCATTAAGGTTGGAAAAGACCTTTAAGATCAAGTCCAACCATCAACCCAACACCACCGTGCCCACTAAACCATGTCCCAAAGCGCCACATCTACATGTTTTTTGAACACCTCCACTGATGGTGACTCCACCATTTCCCTGGGCAGCCTGTTACAATGCTTGACCACTCTCTCACTAAAGAAATTTTTCCTAATATCCAATATTGGTTTCCTAATAACCATTATTGGTTCCTGGCTTTGTTTCAAGACAGATTAGGGGTATAAATTACCACAAAACAAAAGCACAGCCCACCTTCAGAAGAGCTCCTCTAGTCCAGACACAGCCTCCCTTGAACTCCCTGCGCCCCAACGCAGCCCCGTGGTTTGTGTTCAAAGCAACGCAACAGACTCCAGAAGCCTGTTTAACCCCTGTTGAGTAAATGCCCAGTTACCTAGTAAAGGAGGGATCACAGCCGAGAGATTAAATTAGCAGGATGGGTTAAATCAAGACTTGAATCACTCTCTGCTGGCATAGCTCATCTGCTGGAGGGACTTGCAGTAGCATGGAGCTGTAATGCTTCAAAAGTATGTGTGCTACAAGCCTAGGCTGGGACAGACCGACATCTGGAGCTCCTGCAACAGCAAAAGCGATGCTTCACTATTATCCCCAGCCCCTGTGCCCACGGACTTGTTGCCTGCCCCACAACACCCCCTCTTCTCCAGCCCCGGCACTGCAGGATCGGTACCATGATCCTTCTGTACCCATCGGACCTTGGCTCAACAGCATTAGTGCTGCACAGCCAGTCCCTGGAGCAAAAGAGCAATACTGTGGGAGGGGGAAGAAAATTCAGTAAATCGCTGCAAGCGAAGTTCTGCAAAAGTGCTGTGTCAGCCAGTCCCCTTTCCCTTGGCCGTTAGCCGCAGGTACCCTGGCTGTAGCCTCCAGCCCGGCTGCAGAGCAGCCCTGGGGCATTAGCTGGGCTCTGATGAAAAGCACTTTTATAATAATAGAATAATAATTACTCCTCTGACTTCCCTTCAACTCCGTGTGTCGCTGTTGTGAAACGGAGAGCTGGTGTGAATTGTTCTAGGTCTCTGTGGCCTCTCAGAAAAATGAGTATAAAAACCGAAGAGCCTAAGCCACCACAATAGCTGTTTCTACGCGAACAGCTTGTACTACCAGCGTGTGGGATAGTGGCTGTACAGATTGTTATTCCAGAGGAGCAGGTTAATGCTGCGCTGGTTCTAACCTGGAGTTGGGCACTGCTTGATAGTTACCAGGGATTTGGCTTGTCCACGTAGATGATCAAAGAGGTGGTGTTTACTGCTTGACCACAGTAGCCCCCGACATGAAATCAATTAATTAAAATTTCCTCACCAAGACAGCGTGATCCAAGGTTGTGGGCTTGTTTAATCTCAAAGTGAAACGGTATTCAAGTAAACCCCACAGAGACAGCCTGGTCTGTCTCATCCTTCAACCAATCGATGCCAGTATTAAATAATAACGGCAAACAGGATGTAGCTGTGCCGAACTGCCAGGCCACGTATTTACCATTAAGCCTCTCCCAGCTTTTCATTTCTTTCATGTTCTTTTAATAGCATTTTCCAGAGATGCTTACTTGTTTTATCAGACCTAACAAGCTTCCTTGCTGGCCCAAATCAAAGACCTGACAGAGTCATAAAAAGTAACTGGCTTATTACGTTTGCCTTTCTTCTAAGAAGCCATCTCAAAATATAGATCAGGTGAGAAGTAAAAGGAGCAGCTCTAAAGCTGCCTTGTGTGTCCCTTGGTTGTCTTAAAACACGAATTCAAGGCTCTGAGAGAAGGAAAACCTTCCTATGACCCACAAAACACAGTACGTTGACAGAGGCTGTTCTGCTCTGTCACACTGTTGTAATAGAGGTAATATAACATTCCTCTTCCACTCGTTATAGATGATGTTATGGATTTGGTGACATCAAGGAGCATATGCAGACTTCTGGCAACAAGAGTCGCTGCTGGCTGGAGTATTACAATGATTTTTGCTGCAGGAGAGCGGTGGGAGGTACCTCACCGCTTGGTTTGGTTAAAAAAACCCACCTAATCAGAGCTGAGGCTTTGAAATGAGTTGATCAAACTAAGTGGTCTTACTTAGGGATGTCCCAAGGTGCCTTTCCAATGCCAATGGACTATGACTTGGACATCTTCCTTCTGTAGAGAAAGTTGTTCTGTTAGGATCTTCCTTCCTCCCTACCTGCCTCCTCCAAGTAGAGGGCAAATGGTAGGAAGGAGACAAGTCAGGCCAATTCACCTTAAAATGGTCTTCCTGTTCACATGAGGAACTCAGAATTCCCATAAGGCACTTTGAAAACTGGATAATGCCCTGAGCCCTACTCCTCATGGGCTAAAACGGTGCTGTGTTCCACTACAGACCCCATAAAGTCTCACCACCACCACTGAGGATGACCATTGACCATCAGAGTGCCAAGGCTGTCTGCTGAGCTACCAGTAGCCAACACTGCCAATCCGGCACGATGTCGCTCCCCATCATGGAATAAGGGAAGGGGGAATTCAGCATCTCATGTTTTGGTGGGTCTGAGCAGATGAGAACCCATATATATGTTTTGTTTGACTTTAAGACAAGCTTCTGCATGAATCTGGTTTAAATGATTCATTTTCTTGCTAACATCAAATTTAAAACTCTAAGTATGGTAAAAAGGAGTCAGGAACCAGGGCCTGAGTTTCTCCCGCTAGTCTGTGCGTTGCTCAGTCCCCACCAAGCCCTGATGAAGCTCTGCGAGGTCTGCCAAGTGAAGGAGGTCTGGGGCTGATGCGTGTAACTGGGAAGTCTCTGCAGTAACTGGCCACCAGTCACAATTTGCTCAGTTCTCCTGATACCCAGAATAAACAAGGACTGGCCTTTGTCGCTGCAGCGGACGTGCAGCCCCTGCGAAGGCTGTCCCTGGTGTCCTGTATGTTTATAGCTAATGTAATTCATGCCAGGAATAGCTGAATTTTATCTGATACAGCATAAGTCCTCCTCTGAGCTAAGCCATTAGAAAGGCTTGGTATTGTCTTGCTGGAGTATGCTGGGCAGGAAGGGCAAAGAGAAAATCAGGATTAGGGATGTATTTCTGGATAACTTTTGTATTACTACCATTTTAACGTTGCTTTGGCGGCATACAGTGGCCTCGGAATGCGAATGCATAC